TCAGCAGAAGCTGTGAAAACTGGGTCTGAAATGACATGTTTGGACCTGAGTCACATCCCTTTTAGTGCCACCTGCCAGTACCATCCTGAGAGCTGTTCCCCCAGGAAAATCCTGCTTGGAATCATTTTGAGGTGAAAGCCCAGCCCGGTGTCAGCCCCTGACAAGCTGCACACTGATGCCTTAAGCCCCTAATGGTTTTTTTATTTTTTCTAATATTTGTAAGACTTGTAAGTTTTATAGGTAGGTTTTAAAAGCAGAAACCCCTTCCTTCTTTATCCCTTGCTCCTTTCCCTCTCTCCAGCACCCTTGTTTATACATTCCCTAACGCTCTTACCCCATTCTGTGCTCCCTATATCAAACCTACCCCTGAATTCAGTGGCAATGTTTAGTCCTCTGTCAAGGCAAAGGCCCAGACTGTTTGGAGAACAGCATATCAGGGCCTAAACCACAGACTACGGTCAAAAATTAGGTAAATATGTACCCTTTGTGCTCTGAAGATGATGAAGATGATGAAGGGGGGGTCCCAAAAAGCCCCCAGACCCAATTCTCAGGGGGAGGGCCCGGGGCGGACCAGAGGAAAGGCCAAAGGGTGGACACATCTGGGATTGGATGGATAATGTTATAAAATGTAACCTCTCAGGCACGGCCTGCGCGCGTCGTGTACCATCTTAGCCTTGGCAAATAAACCCTTTCTTATCTCACCCCTAATTTACTGCTCCGGAGGGTTTTTTTTCAGCGCCAAAATGCACCGGCAGCAACACGAACACCAGCAGGGGAAGGGAGGGCGGGTTTGGCACTTTCTGACTGACCTCGCTGGAACTGGGCCCGGAGCCACCAAAACGTTCCTGAGCAGCGTTTCTGGAGCACGAAGGGTGCCCGGGGTGCCCCATGGGTGTCTGTGGGACCCCCGGGGCTGTGGGGACGGGCTGTGGGGCCAGCAGGCAGTTGGGCCTCCCCAACCGCCCCAGACGTGGCCTTCGAACCCGGCAACCGCCCGAACGGCCGATGGAGGCCCAGCAGGCGAGTGGGAGAGGTGCAGCTCTCCCCGGGCCAGGCCCGGAGGGGGTACGAGCTCCCTGGGCTGTCCCAGGGGGAATGGTTCCCTTTGGGAACAACAGCCTGCTGCTCCAGAGCTGGCGGCAGCTTTGGTGCTGGCCGTGGGGACAGGCCTGGGAGGGATGGAGGGCTCCTCCCTGAGGGCACCCACAGCTCCTCCTCCGGCACTGCCGCGCTGGAGGCGCTGGGCACTGACGAGGGAGCAGCTTTTCATCGCGTTCCCTTCACCCCAATTTACAGCCCAGCCTCAGCAACCGCCAGAGACCTCAATGGGTCTCTTCCAGTCACCTCCCAGATGACTCTTGGCAGCCCAGACAAGGCCACAGGAATGATCAGAAGATGCTCTTCTGCCGTGGGGAAGGCTGAGAGAGTTGGGACTGCTCTGCCTGAAGAAGGGAGACCTTAGAGCCCCTTCCAGCATCTGAAGAGGCACAGGGAGAGCTGGAGAAGGACGTGGGACAAGGACTTGCAGGGACAGGACGAGGGGGAACGGCTCCAAACTGACAGAGGGCAGGCATAGATTTGGATATGGGGAAGAAATTCTTCCCTGTGAGGGTGGTGAGGCCTTGGCACGGGTTGCCCAGGGCAGCTGTGGCTGCCCCATCCCTGGAGCTGCTCGAGGCCAGGCTGAGTGGGGCCCTAACAACTTCCTTTCTGGTGTTCTGTACCAGCAAGACACCTTCCAGCAGGTTCTGTTTGTTCTGTTTTTAAACTACTGGACTGAAAGTTTTTTCTCAAGGAGTGAAGGAAGAGCTGAGCTGGAATTCCTGAGGTGGGGCAGGGGGAAAGCGTTCAGGACCGACTGCCCCAGGGACAGCCATGAAATCTGAGTGTGTTCATTCTTGTGCTCTTCCAGGTGTCTCAGGGGCTTGGACTGAGCCAGTGGTTCCCTTCCCACATGTTTCCTCAAGAGGGATCTTCCTCAAGAGCCCCTGAGGTGAGTACAACTGTGCTGAATGGCTTAGGGCCGTTTTTAATTGGGGTTTAGGGGGGAAGAGAACTGCAGGAACCCTGGAAGGCTGAAGCTTCTCTGCCATGGATTTTCTGTCTGTCCCTGGGTGGGATTCAGTTCTGTGTGCTTGGTTTCTGTGTTGCCATTTTACCCCAAAGGAGTAAAATTTCCTCTGCTTGGTCAGCTTGACAGGGAACACGTACAACTAAACCAGGAACCTGATTTCAGATGGCTCTGTGTAACTTTATTGCAATCACACCAATAAATGTACCAAGCACAAGCAATGTGCTTAGTGTAGAAAATAGATTTAATACATATAAGTGGATTTTGCAATTGCTTCTCCATGAATGGACACCATTCTTGTTAGGATCAGAAGAGGTATTTCAGATGGTGCTTTGGAACATGACAGAACACCTGTCCTCCCCATACTGGGCTAAAGTAAAGAAGGAACATTAGATCTGCATTTCATGACTGTGAAAAGGCTTTTTTGCAGTTATTTGATTTTATTTCCTTCTATTTCCTTTTTTTTTCCATTTAATTTAATTTAACATGTTCCGAATCTATTTATCCAAATACATTCAGTGAAGTTAAAAGAATGGAAGGCAACTAATTTTAACATATTGCCCCTTAATGTCATCTCGTTCGGTGCTAAAATCCACGGCAAAGGATTTTTAAATGCAAAACATTTTCAGAAATCACTTTTTGGAACAAACCAGAGCTCTCCTGGGACATTTTGCAAAGGCAAGCGGTGACAAGGACAAGGGGGGAGTGGCTTTCAGCTGACAGAGATTTAGATATTGGGAAGAAATTCCTCCTTGTGAGGGTGGTGAGGCTCCGGCACAGGTTGCTCAGAGAAGTTTTGTCTGCCCCATCCCTGGAAGAGTTCAAGGACAGTTAGATGGGGCTTGGAGCAACCTGGGCTGGTTGAAGGTGTCCCTGCCCATGGCAGGGGGTTGAAACGAGATGATCTTTGAGGTCCCTTCCAACCCAAACCGTTCTTTGATTCTGTAAAATTCCTTCAAATCCCGCAGTTGTCTCCTCACCTCCCGCTCCTTCCCTGGCAGGCAGAGGAACACAAAGAACGACACAGGACTGGCCCAGACAGAGGAAACTGTAAAACGAAAGGAGAGAGCCACGACGATCTGACCGGGACAAAAGCAGAGGCACAAGTGGAGCCTGGGGTGGGGATATTCCCGAGCCCTCCCCTTCGCATCCCTCCGGGCAGACTCGGGGAAATAGAAGCTCGGCTGGTCTGCGCCGACGAGGCAGACACCGAGTTTGGGTTTGGCGACTCGGCGTTGCCTGGGGTGACCCCAGCGGCACCTCAGGCTGCTG